AAACCTCAGTCAAAATTCAAATGTCGTCCACGTATTATAGATAAGAGATCGTTGAGCTAGAGAATCTCACCCTAAATCCAAATATATAATCATCAAGTTTAATGATTGATCTATATAATTTGTATTCTATTTATTTCTACCAATATACATATATTCTTGTCAAGGTCAATTTTTGAGGGGTCAAGCACAAGGGAGGGTTTTTCACTTTGGGGATTTTTTTCTTTTGAGGAACACACCTTTTTGAGAGACACACCACATACCCACCCAAAACCTTAAAATGATAAGTGTGTGAGCTCTTATTAGAGATAAATTTAATAGTTTGTTAGGGTTTGTCAGGTTTGTTATTAGTTTGTTAAGGTTGATCCTATTTTCAAAAAACAATAAGAATACTACATATTTTTCAAGTTAACTTTCTATTACGGCTTCCGAGCACGGTTCTATTCTGGAAACGACGCTAAAAACTTGATCGCGACTTAGTATGTCTAAATGATTCGTGACTGCAAGTGCACAGTTGAATCGCGCAATTTTAAAGATTATTGAACCCAAAGAACCAAGAATCGATCTACCGTTATCTAATGCTACCACGTAAATCTAAGGCTAATGGATTTCTAAGTTGAGATGCAAGTAAGAAAATAAGTGCAAATTGAAATATAATTTAAATCAAGATAATGCAAAATATCGGTATATAATTATATCAATCATCGGGGGTTCAGTGATTCATGGTCGTTTAGTTTAAAAGGTAAAAATGTTATTCTGTAGAAAATACTCATTTAAAAGACTTTATCTCACACTCTTGTGTTTATTGACTTAGACTATACTCTCAAATCAGAACGAAGGCTCTCGCTCTCTCATTTGTATTTAAAAACACTTTTTGAAAATAAGTAGATCCTAATTAACTCTAAAGCGCTCTCGCTGTATTTAGGATTAATGTTCAGTTTCAGCTATCCAGTTAAGACCTCAAACTCTCGCTTTGTTGATCCTGACATTCGTTACCTTTTTACTCTCGTAACAAAAGTTATTAAGTTATTAAAAAGAAACCGAGACCAGAAGAATAAATTTGTTAAGTTCACGCCATGAGTTACTAAACCCCTTCTGACCGATCGTAATTACATACCGATATTAAAGAGTTTAGTCAGACATGGGTTGCATGCTATTATAAAATTTAATCTTAATGCTAGACATAATATAAAAGGAATGCATAAAAATAACAATGGAAGTAAATAAATGAACCTGGCAATTACGAGGAACAGAAAAGCACTTGGATTATGGAGACCGGCTTGTAGTTCAGTACAAAGTTACAACCAATACATAAATCCTAATACTAACTGGCAATTGTTTCTCAGTGTGAAAAACTATTGCCTTTTACAAAATCCCTCGAAAAACTACTTAAAATTAAGAATTATAAACTCTGAAGAAAAATGTGAAAACGGAAATCAAAAGTGGCTCCCCTCGTTCTCGAAAATCGTCTGTGGCTTTTATACTTGTTACTGGCGTCGGTTACCCAAAAACTCAGGGAAAAACATGGAGAGAAGACCGGAGAAAAAGTAAGGAGGAGTGGAGAAAGTGTAGTGAGGTTTTCAGGAAGTGGCACACGCCACTTCCCTTTCTTTTAGGAGTGGCAGTCGTCACTCTCCCTTCTTTCTAGGAGTGGCACTCACCACTCCCCCATCTCTTTGGAAGGTGGCAGGCGCCACACTTCCCTTGCTTCTTCTTGGTGGCAGGTGCCACACACATGTGGCAAGTGCCACTAGTGTGTGGTGGCCTCCACCTTATTTTTTTTCTTTTCTATTCTTTCTTCTTCTTTTCTTTCCTTCCTTTCTTCCTCTTTTCTTTCCATTTCTTTCTTCTTTTATTTCTTTAATCCATATTTTCGATAACCTACAAAACACAAGAAAATAGATGCGTAATAGAATATAAATCAGATAATGTAGCAATAATCGCAGATAAAATTCATATAAGTCAAGTCAAATATACGATATAATTTCGCGTTATCAATCTCCCATTTCATTTTTGGGTAGGTTGTATGTTAACAGCAGCATATATAATCAATAGAACCTCTACGGTTGAAAATAAGGGAATCACTTCATACGAGTTACTTTTTAAGAGAGCACCAAAATATAAGCACTTGAGAACTTTTGGTTGCTTGTGCTACAAGAAAAATGACTCTAAGAGAACCAGTAAATTTGATCCCAAAGTTGAAAGATGTATTTATATTGGTTATCCATAAGGACAAAAAGGATGGAAAGTTTAAAATCCAAAGACTCGTGAATGGTGCATATCGAGATATGTAGTGTTTTATAAGCATATCGTTTCTTACCATGTAAAAAAAAATAATGGGTCTACTAATTTTAGAAATAACTCATCAAGTGATAACCTCAATGATGAGCCTTCACTCTATAATGATGCGAAATTAGAAGTATCAAGCCTTGGGGAAATTTCTCATAATGACCAAATATCAAGTCCTATGGAATGTTTACTTATTAAGGAGCCTGGATACACAAGTCAAACTGAGAGTGAGCCTATAGAGCAAGAACATATATCCATAGATGAGTGAATGAGGAAGTCACCAATGATTCTCAAAAATAATCATCAACTGAAAGTGAAGGAGAAGTCTCAAATGAGGGGGAGCCTCAGAACGTGCCACGCATAAGACGACCTCCAAATTATCTAAAAGACTGCGACTGTAGAAAACTAAACATAAACCCAAGTGCATGGAATCAATTCCAGAGTCCTCTTCAGGTATTACATATACCATCTCAAAATTTTTAAAATATGATAAGTTTTCACAAAAACATAGAGCTTACCTTGCAGCCATTACTAATGATGAAGAACCTCAATCATATACTCAAGCAGTCAAGCACACGGTTAGGAAGGAGGTCATGAATCAAGAAATCAAGGCTCTAGAAGATAATAAGACATGGGAACAAACTCATTTACCGCAATGAAGAAAATTTATAGGATGTAGATGGGTGAACAAAATCAAACATAAATTTACATGTGAGATTGAAAAGTACAAGGACATATTTGTTGCTAAAGGTTACACACAAATAGAAGGTGAGGACTTCAATGAAAATTTTGCACCAGTGGCCAAAATGACCATAGTCAGATGCTTGTTAGAAATTACAGTGGCAAAAGGAAGGAAATTACATAAAATGGATGTTAGCAATGTCTTCTTGCATGGAGAATTGACATAAGAAGTATACATGAGTCTTCCACTAGGATATAAAATTCCAAACAAATATTTGGTATGCAGATTAAAGAAGTCATTGTATGGCTTGAAACAAGCATATAGAAATTAGTATAGCAAGCTATCTTAATCTTTGATAAAATATAGTTTACAAGACATAACTTATTTACTTATTCACGTGGATCAACTTTTCTTGTTGTTTTGATCTATGTTGATGACTTGATCATTACTAGTAATGACCTTTAGGCCTGTGATCAGTTCAAGCAATATCTCAGTCAATGTTTCCACATGAAGAATCTTGGTTCGCTTAAATACTTCCTAGGCCTGGAACTAGCACGAGGGTCAGAACAGATATTCTACAAGAATGTGGAATACTTGGTTGTAAACCTTCTTTTTAATGGAACAAAATCACAAACTTACTTTGGTCCAGGGACCTCCACTCTTAGAACCGTCAAGGTATAGGAGATTAGTCGGACGCCTGATTTACTTAACTATCACTAGGTCTGAATTAACCTACTCAGTTCATATTCTAAGTCAATTCATGAAAACTCCACACCAAGACCATTGGGATGCTGCTATGCGAGTCTTACGGTATCTCAAATCTTCTCTTGGTCTTACGATATCCTTGGGCATCGTGTCCTATTATCAGAAAATTCATCTTAGGTTATCTAAGAAACTTGGCAATGCTCTAATATCATGGAAAACAGAGAAACAAGCCATAGTCTCTCGATCCTCAAGTGAGGTTGAATATCGTGCAATAACACATGCCACAAGTGAAACACTATGGCTACGTGATTTTTTAGAGACTCTGCAAGTTCCATGCATCAAACCCACATATCTGATTTTGACAATCAAGCAGCTCTTCATTTAGCTGTAACCTCTGTCTTCCATGAAAGAACAAAGCACATTGAAATTGACTATTTTATTAGGGAACACATACAGTCAGGTGCCATAAGCACAACTGACTTGCCCACCAAACAACAAAATGCTGACATTTTAACTAAGTCCTTAAGCGTGAAAGTTTTTCAAGACCTCATGTTCAAGGGTGATCATAATCCTCACCCTCCAACTTGAGGAAGAGTATTAGAGATAAATTTAATAAGTTGTTATTAAATTGTTAGGTTTGTTATTAGTTTGTTAGGGTTTGATCCTATTTCAAACTCTAAATGATAGATCATCATCCTATATATATAAAGGTATATTATGGATCATCAAAAACAATAAGAATACAACATATTTTTTAAGTTAACTTTTTATTAATTCTCCATCTTATAAATATATATAGAACTTCCCCCACTATTAGAATTGGGTTAATTAGAATTGGGTTAATAAACATATAATGTTGATAAATAAGGCAAAAAGATGAACTATGTACATTTTTTACTAAAATAACTTGTTAAAAAAACATAAAGAATTAATTTATTCAAAATAAACAACTTAAAGATGTTTAGGATGAATAGGGTAAATAGATTTGTTAACATAAAAATTAATACAATTCCATGTTTAATCAAATTTAGTCGCTTTCTAATCTTGGTGAAGTAGGGTCTAAGAATATCTGAGTAAGAGAGTGACTAATGCCAGAGAGTATGTTATGTTTGCACTATTTAAGAAGCACTAATATTCACTCACTCACACAACCCAAAAATACATGTCATGCATATGATCAACCTGATTCTTCATCATCATCATCATCATCACATAACACCCTATTTCATTTACCTTCATCACCTAGCTCTATATATATACCTTCATTTCCATTCCTCTTTCTCACATTTCATACCTCATCATCATCACTTATAATCAGTTTTCAATCATGACTGCAGCAACAGCACATATTGCTCGAACAGTTGTTGGTATTATAGGTTTGTCAAGTTTCTTAATTTCTACACCAAAATAACATATATAGTGTTTTTAGTTCTTATGAATCTTTGTCTTTTTAATTTTCATAACTTCAGGAAATATCATCTCAGGCTTCTTGTTCTTGTCACCAGTGTAAGCTTCATCTTTCTCTCTTGTTTTTTTTTTATACATGTAGTTTCTCTTTGTAAATTATATAAATAAACATTTTTTAGTTAAATTTAATGTTTTTACAAAATGCATAAATTATATATTTTTTTATTAAGAGTGTAATTTCAAATTTAATTTTTATAGAATAGATTAATGACCAAAATTTTATAACTATCATGAGTTTTTTTAAAAGATATTAAAAAAATGTTAATATATACTTTAACAGCATATGTATATGTTAGTTAATTACATATAGAAATATTGTTTCTAAAATGTGATTTTTATTTTTTTTGAATTTAAAAAAGAAATTGTTGATTTATTCAACTCAAGTTTTTTATGTTAACTATGCTATTAAGAGAAAAGTTTTAAAAACTTTAATTTTATATTTGCCATAGCTAATTTTATTAAAAGAAACTTTTGACATAATTAATTAGTACACGTGATTAGGTATTAGGTATGGTTTAATTGACCCACAATTTGTTAAAGGCAGGATATATCTCACTTTATTGAGAATAAAAATTAATTATCGCCTAAAATATTTTATTTTAATTTTATAACAACATATCAGCATATTTAATATAATTCTTTAAAAATGAAAAAAATAAATGATGTATTGACCGTATAAATTTTTATACTGTTGATTAATAATGATTATAAATTTTACCATATCACCTTAATATTTATAAAAAAATAATATTATAAATTATTAATTTTTTATTAGATGATCGTATAAAACTATTTTATCCACTTCAATATATCAATTAAATCCTTTAAAAATTGTGTTTATAAATATGATTTCATAATACTAGCTATTAATATCTATTTATTTTTCAAAGATATTCTTTGTTAATAATACTACTTTATCTTATAATATAAAAAATTAAAATTATGTTAGTCATCAAAATACCTTGAATCACAATTTTTTAATATTATTTTTAGAGGTGGAGTAATATCGTAAAATTGTGATGTGTCATTTTAATGGCAAAAATGTGATGAGCTTGCATCTTATGATATTCTTTGCATTTATTCAACAAACTATTATGATGCAAATTAAATCCTTCTATATATGGAGCGGTGCTGGTGCAGAAGAAATTATTATGTTCTTTTCTTTTTTAAGACAAGTTTAAATAATTCATCTCTCTCTTTTATTTGCTTTACTTAATCTAAAAAAAGCAATTTATTTATTTCAGAAATATAGTAAAATAAAACGTGAGAATTTTTATGACAAGTATAATTTTTCTAAAAATCTAAAATATATTTACATATATAATACCAAAATAAATTAGAGATCCTCATCTTAGACTTCTCATTTTTTTCATACTCTCCTATAAAATCAAAAACAGTATTAATTTGGCCATGTGGTAGAAAGGGGGTTGGAATACTAAAATAGGAGGTACGTATAGTACTATTCATATTGTGTCTCTCTAAAAATAGTTGAAATGAATGAATACCATTAAAATTGGAGTACAATTTATTTCATTACTTTATTATATTCTACAATGCATAATATTATCATTTTCCATAAATTTTATTGATCACAGGTCTATAATTAACCTCAATCAAGTTTATCAAAAAAACAAAATTTGCTAAAAAGTAATATAGCTAGGAATGGTATATTACTTGACTTTGTGTTTGATATCTTTAGTAACAATTTGTTTCTTTCTTTTGTTTAGTGCGTGCAAGTTGATAGAATCTTATCACCCACCTAATTGAATTTAAATTTATAACTATTTACTGTCTTAATTCAACATATTTTTAGCATGTGCAAAAATAGACTTGTATATAGTCCACAAATCAGACATTGTTAGATTAGACGTTATCACCGAGACCTCACCAAAATTCAAACTATAATATTCATGATTGTGTACTTTTTTAGCTCTCCCATTTTTGAACAGGCCAGTTAGAGGCAACTCATCTGCCTTTACCATCTCTAAGTAATCAATTATTCTTGTCTTGTACAAAGACAGTACAGTATATCTATAAGTCATGAAAAATTTAAGGAAACATTATAGTATGATTTAAATAAATTTTTCATTAATATTTTAACATATCTTAGCTTTTTTTTTCATTGATTGAGCTTGTAATGTCATGTTGGGGGCAAGAATTCCCTATTTTTAATTGAATTGAAATGTATATAATCAGGCCAACATTTTATGAGATATGGAAGAAAGGATCAGTTGAGCAATTTTCACCAGCACCATACTTAGCAACACTTGTGAACTGCATGGTGTGGACACTATATGGTCTCCCCATGGTGAACCCGGACAACGTGTTGGTGCTGACCATCAACGGATCGGGTTCTGTGGTCGAGATCGTATATGTCACACTCTTCTTAATTTACTCTAGCCGCAACAAAAGGCTCAAGGTTCTTATGTGGCTAGTTGTTGAACTCCTTTTCATCGGAGTTCTTGCGTTCGTCACATTGATTCTTGTTCACTCTGCTAAGAAACGATCGGCCATTGTTGGTACCACCTGCATTGTCTTCAACATTATGATGTACGCTGCACCTTTAGCTGTCATGGTAAGTAATCGTCAAATCAAAGAAACTCTTAATTTGAATATTTTGTTTTGGATTTGAGGTATTTGATAAAATTGTGGTGCAGAAATTGGTGATTGTGACTAAAAGCGTTGAGTACATGCCGCTCTCCATTTCTCTTGCTGCCTTTGGAAATGGTGTCGCGTGGACCACTTATGCTCTCATCCAATTCGACGCATTCATCACTGTAAAAACAAATTTAAGTCCATATTTTTTTACTATATAACAAAATCAACAAGAGGCGATTGAATGACCAGTTACCATTGTTCTTGATTATCAGGTGCCAAATGGGATTGGGACATTGTTTTCTGTGGTTCAGTTGATTCTATATGCAACCTATTACAAATCGACGAAGAAGCAGATAGCTGAAAGAAAAGCCAACAAGACAGAAGTGAACCTGTCGCAGGTTGTGGTTGGCAATGGTGACCAACAATCCAAGACAAATTATTGATCATAATGGATTACTAGTATGGATGGTTGATAGACTTTTCTAACCCACCATTTGATCATTAGTAGTACTGAATTAATGTTACTTTATGTTTTTTTGTTTTCCAACCTTGTTGGCATGTTTTGTTTTTAAAGATGCAATGCCATCATTACCTAAAACAGTGTCTGAAGTTCATAAATTGCATACCTTCCTCTTACATCTTCTGGTCTGAGAAAATGTAATCATATATCACATTCAATACACCAGAATTGTAACTTTCTAAATGTCTTTTTCATTAACTTCAGAGTATTAGTTGTTGTTATTTGTTTATAGTTTGCAAACCTAATTAAATTGAAATGTACACAGATAACACATGTAATAACCAATAAAATGTAATGAACATTGAGTCAGAACAGCTTCAAATTTTACTAAGAATACCCTTTTTAGAAGAATAGAATTGATACACCCATTGATAAAAATCCGGCGGCCACCCACGGGCTTAAACGTTCACCTGCGCAATAACATGTAAATAAAAGTGGTCAAGGGAAAAGCTTAAAGCAGCAGTAAAACTAGCTTCAGACAAGAGAAGACCACTCCAGGAAGTATGAACTAAAGATGAAACCAAATTAGAATAATGCCTTCTAGTTACAGTTGACAGTCACTACATGCTACATTGCTTTTGGGCTTAAGGGAAATTGGGCAGGTTTGTTAGTGTAATCTTTTGCTCAATTCTAGCGCACCTTATGTTGGAACTGAATCCTATTAATATAATTTGATGTTTCAAAAAAATATGACATTCATCAACTTTTAAACTACCATTTTCTTATATTTTATTCTAGATGGAGTATCTATTAGGCCCACACAAAGAGAAGAAATTGTTTGAAACAAAAGACAATGAATGAAGTTGTCTTTTAATGACAAATTCCAAATTGGCCAAGAAGCAAACTAGAAAATAGGTTGAAAATAGCCTTGACGATCTTGAATCTGATGATGAATGGATTGTGGCAAATGATGAAGGAACATTTGAGAATGACATTTTAGATTTCACATAGAAAATGAAGATTTGGAATTAGACACTCAAAATGAAGGAGAGCAAGGAGTTGCATTGCAGCGGCTGCCTCCTCAAGATGAGTTGGAGATTCAAAACTTGGATGAAGTACTTGATGGGGCAGGAGCTGAAGATTGTCCAGAAGATGTTGGTTATAATCCAATCAATGCCTTGGATGATTTTTTAAATTCAAATTTTAGATGTTTTTAGATGATGATAATAGGAATAGTTTTATATTTGAGACTATGAGAGCTTGTGACTTAAATGAAATTTTAATTTAAGGTATCTTAGTTATGATATAATATTTTCTATTTGGTGGGATCTTACCATTGGTGTTACAATCCCACAATTTACGATTTTTCTATACCCAATTGATCTTTGTTGGAATCTTGAGTTTGGTTTCAAATGTTCTTGCATGGGTTTGGAGGGTGTTGATCATATGACAATGTCTTGTTCTTTTCATCAAAAATGTTATCTATAGTGGTGAAATATTTACAGAAAAAGGCAGTGATCAAGGTGTCTATCACTTTGAATTTCTCACCATTTTGCATTCAAAAGTTCAAAAATCATTGCATCACCAAATTGCTGTGCAAGTATATGTATTCAGAAGTGGATGGATTCAAGCAACCAATTAAAAGCTCTTTAAAAAACAATCATTTCCCCCACTAAACATAAAAACCTTCCAGATTTCATAATCACTACACAGAATTTGATTTAGTGTGTTTTAGAGCACATAATTTTCAAATCCCTACATTACAAATTTCATTACTTGTCTATATTTATCATTTTATCAGGCTATAACTGATAGATCTTCAGCATTGGCTTTTCTACAAGTTATATCTAGGGTCTATCTATGTACTCATGGGGAAATTTTCAGTTTACCCAATCTAATCAAATCACCTATAGAAAAAGTCATAAGTATGAAAGACTAACCTATTCTAGCAGCCTTCCAAAAGAATCCCCGAAACCTGCACGGAAACAGTTAAGACTGAGTATCTGAAATCATAAACAAGCTGCAATAGCAAATTAAGATTGAATAGAGATTGGGACAAAATGAGAGTACTCGTCATCGATGCTTAATTCTACAAAAATAGTATATGAAATGATGAATAAATCAGTATCTATACATACCCAGTTTTGTGTTGAAGCATGGAAGGGAACTGCATCTTGAGGAAGGTGCAGGTAGAGATGACGAGCAACAGAACCGTCAAAAAGGAGTGAAAATTAAAAAGTGCAGACTGAAATGCAACAAAGGGAATAATATCAGAAACAACGTAAACCCTAAAATACAGTTACAACACGGAGCGATGAGAACGATATGAAACAATGGCGTTGAAAATAAAATAGTACCATATTTTGGGTGTGATGCCACGGATCTTCCCAAAAAAAATACGATATGGTTTATCTCTCTTATCTTATGGTTTCTTAATTTTTAATTGATATGAAATTTATCCATTCATATTTAATTAATTTTCATAATTGTAAGTCAGCCACGTCATTAGTCCGAGGAGCATCGAAAGTGTCAATGAACTAAACGTTTAGAATTCAAGAGAATTTGATGCAACACATCACTCAAGAACATTAAGGCAATTAGGGTATGAATCATTTCTCTTATACACGTTACATTTCTTCCATTTCTAATCGGTGAGACTTGTTCACTCACACTTGAACTCTAACAATCTCTTTCACAAGTGTGAGTCACCCACATTACTAGTTTTGATTCATACTAGGATCACATTTTCATTCTCCCATCGAGCTTAATTATGGCTCCCACATTACTAGTTTTGATTCATACTAGGATCACATTTTCGTTCTCCCATCGAGCTTAATAATGGCTCTGATACCACTTATTAGGAAGTTTGGAGAGCGTTGAAACCATGAAAGCGTCATTGAGAAGCAATCAAGTGAAATTTCAAGTACATGAAGGGTACTATGAATTATGGTATCATGTTTAATACTGAATTTTATAGGGTGATCCTTAAGTTGTATGTGTTGGTGCAAAGGTAAAATAAATGATGAAAAGAGAAATATTCTATTAAGAGAATGACGGCTACACACTACTACAAATAACAATGATTGTAGCCCTATTTATAAGCTAAAACTAGGGTTACTAGAATAAGATAAAATACTAAAATACCCTCTAACAAACTTAGGGGCTAAGAAAATAGTACAACTAATTAAATATGAATTACTTCTAATACCATCCCTTAATTCATATTCCATCAAAACTTGTAACACCAATTCCATCCCTTAGTCTGAGAAATTGATCAGTCTTGATAGCTTTCGTCAGAGCATCTGCCAACTGTTTCTGAGTGCTGCAGCGTACAACTTCTAGCACTCCACTCTGAACTTGATGTCTCAGAAAATGATACTTGGTCTCAATATGCTTGCTTCTCCCATGCAACACTGGGTTTCTGGCAAGATTGATTGTAGACTTGTTGTCAATCATCAACTTCAGAGGTTTGTTTATTTTAATCTTCAGATCCTGCAACAGATTCAGAATCCACACAGCTTGGCATGCAGTAACAGCACATGCAATTTCAGCTTCACAGGTTGATAACGCCACAACAGGTTGCTTCTTGGAACACCGAGAAATGGGACCTCCCAGAAATTTGAACAAGTATCCAGAGGTACTTCTTCTGTCAACTTTGTCTCCACACCAATCAGAATCTGAATAACTCAGAAGTTCTGACTCATCTTTTCTTCCAGAAGGAAACAACACTCCATACTTCAGAGTTCCCTTGATATACCTCAGAATCCTGACAGCAGCTTGGTAATGGGACCACTTAGGTTTACTCATGAACCTACTAACCATCCCAACAGAATAACAAATATCAGGTCTGGTATTGCACAGATACCTCAGAGAACCAACCAACTGTTTGAAGGTTGTAGCGTCCACATCCTTTCCATCAGAGTCAGAATCCAGTTTCTGATTTGTATCTGAAGGTGTGACAGCAATCTTACAATTCTTCAGTTCAAATCTCTTCAGAAGTTCTAATTCATACTTGAGCTGATGCAAAATGATACCTTTCTCAGAATATCTGAACTCCATCCCTAGAAAGTATGTCATTTTGCCTAGATCAGTCATTTCAAATTCATTCATCAGAACTTTCTTGAACTTGGCTATCTCATGTTCAGAACTTCCAGTCAATAGTATATCATCAACATATAAACATACCAGAGTCATATTGCCTTCAGAAGTATGTTGAACATAGACACCGTATCCATCTCACATTTCTGAAAGCCTTGCTTCTTGAAAAATGAGTCAATCTTCTGATTCCAAGCTCTGGGCGCTTGTTTCAGTCCATATAGAGCTTTGTATAATCTGTACACCATCCCTTCCTGATTCTTTTTCACAAATCCAGGAGGTTGTGACACGTAAACTTCTTCTTCTAATGGACCATTCAGAAATGCAGATTTTATATCTAAATGCATCAGAGGCCAATTCCTGTTAGCAGCTATTGCAATCACCATTCTGATTGTTTCATGTCTTGCTACAGGTGCAAACACTTCAGAATAATCCAGCCCAGGTTTTTGTAGAAATCCTCTGGCTACCAACCTTGCTTTATGTTTGTCAATTGAACCATCTGGCTTTAACTTCTGCTTGAAAACCCATCTGACGTTGATGGCTTTCTTGTCTTTTGGAAGTTCTGTCAGCTTCCAAGTCTTGTTTCTCTCTATAGCATCAAGTTCTTCTTTCATGGCCTTCAGCCAGAGCTTCTGCTTAAGAGTCTCTTCTGTACTTATGGGTTCAGAATCTACTATCATGGCACACTGAATAACTTCTCCTTCAGAGTCTACTTCAGTGTCTTGCAGCATGTCAAATTCTGCATATCTTCTGGGAATGTTTATGATTCTTTGTGGTCTCTGAGTTTGTTCAAAGTCTTGAGCTTCAAATGATTGACTTCCTCCAGAGCTTTGACCATCTTCAGGGTCTGGCATATTTCCAGAGTCTTGAGCTTCAGAAGCTTCAGAATTTCTAGCTTCAGAGGCTTGACTTCCTCCAGAGCCTTGGCCATCTTCAGAGTCTGAATTGCCACCAAAATCTGGATTGTCATCAGAGTTTGGATCATCAGAGTCACCTTCATCTTCTGAGTCTTCTCCAGAGTCTGAATCACTATCAGGGTCAACGTCAGAATTTACTCTAACTTCAGAAATTCTTAACTCTGACCTTTCTTCAGAAGTTCTAACATCAGAGTCAGATTGAGACTTATCCCAATTCCAAACTTCTGATTCCTTCACAATCACATCTCTGCTGAATTCAATTTTATTGGTTTCTGGACAATAGAGCTTGTATACACCTGTATTGTGGTACCCTATCAGAATCATCACTTTGCTTCTATCATCCAGCTTCTGTCTTCTGGCTTCTGGAACATGTTTATAGCAAACAGAACCAAACACCTTCAGATGACTAACACTTTGCTTATCTCCAGTCCACTTCTGTATTGGAACTATTTCCTTCAACTTCTTCGTAGGACATCTGTTGAGTACATACGTTGTAGTGGAAACAGCTTCTCCCCAGAGCTTCTGAGGAAGCTTCTTCTCCTTTAGCATGCTTCTCACCATATCAAGCAAAGTGCGGTTTCTTCTTTCAGCAAGACCATTGTGTTAAGGGGTATAAGGAGCAGTAACCTCATGCTCAATTCCATTCTCCTCACAGAACTTATGGAACTCTTTGGAGTTATACTCACCTCCACCATCAGTTCTCAGAATCTTCAACTTCTGACCACTCTGATTCTCAACCTTCATTCTGAACTTCTTGAATTCATCAAACACCTCATGTTTAAACTTAATAAGGGATACCCATGTCATTCTTGTGAATTCATCAACAAACAACACAAAGTATTTATTCCCTCCAATTGATGCTACTGGAAATGGACCACACACATCAGAATGTACAACTCCCAAGGCATGTTTTGCTCTTGGAGCAGCTTCTGACGCAAATGCCAATCGTGGTTGTTTTCCTTCCATGCAAACTTTGCATGACTTTTCAGGCTTCTTAATTGGAGGAATTCCATGTACCAACTTCTTTGAATTCAGATGTTTTAAGCTTCTGAAATTCAAATGACCAAATCTTCTGTGCCACAGCTCACTCTCCTTCTCAGCACTTGTTGTACTAAGACATTATGAGTCTGCAGTTCTGACATTCACCTTGAATGTTCTATTCCTTCCTTGTTCTGACTCCATAATCAACTTCTGATTGCATTCGTACAGCTTCAGAAGATTGTCCTTCATGGTAACTGAAAAACCTTTCTCAATTAATTGTCCCACACTCATCAGATTGCTTCTGATGCCAGGTACACACCACACGTTCTGAATCAATGTTGTTTTCCCATTGTTCATAATCACTCTGACATTTCTCATACCTTCTGCATTAAGATATTTGTCATCAGCACATCTGATCTTTGTTCTCTTTTCAGAGTCAAAGTTAACCAGCCATTTCTTGTTTCCAGTAAGATGATTTGAACAGCCAGTGTCCATATACCACCAGTCTATCAGATCCATATTATCAGATTCAAAAGCCATCAATAGCACAGATTTGTCATCAGAACTTCTGGCTATATTTGCTTCTTCTGATTTTCCCTCCTTGTTTGACCAACAATCTCTAGCAAAGTGACCAAACTTCTTACAACAGTAACATTGGATCTTCTTCTTGTCATACTTCTCTTTTCCCTTCTGGGCATTCTTTTGCCTATAAGAGGTTGAGCTTTCTGACTTCTGACCACCATCAGATCTTCTCCTGGCTTCTGATTGCTTCTGATACCTCCTATCAGAAGTTGCTTTCAGAGCCCGCTGCTCTACTTCCTTTTCAGAAGTTCTCTCAGTCAAACGCAACTCTTGCGCTTCTAGACTGCTCTGCAGCTCTTCAATTCTCACGGTGCTCAGATCTTTTGAATGTTCTATTGCTACCACAATGTAATCAAATTGAGGGGTAAGGGATCTCAATAATTGCTCCATGATTGCTTCTTCAGAAAAAGTTTCTCCACACGCCTTCATCTCATTAGTGATCAGAATCATTCTGGAAATGTATTCAGAGACTTTCTCATTATTCTTCGTGTTGAGATTCTCATATTGCTTTCTCAAGGACTAAAGTTTCACCTTCTTCACTGATGCGTCACCACCATAACATCTCACCAGTGTGTCCCACGCAGCCTTTGTTGTTGTTGAATATGCAATCTTCTCAAACACATTTACATCCACACATTGATGAATGAAAAACAATGTTTTCTGCTCCTTCTTTCTTACTTCCTTTTGCGCGTTTTTCTGTTCATCTGTTGCATTTGCTGCTACTGGAACATAACCATCAGTGACAAGATCTAGAACATCTTGAGCACCAAATAGTACACGCATTT